GGATAACAACAAGGGCCGGCACTGATTCCACAATTACTATGTGCCTGGGACTGGCTAAGGTGTTTTACTCTGATCTGTAATTAAAACCAAGTGACCCTTAAAAAGAATTCATTTGAATCAGTTCTAATGAGATGGATGATACTGGAGCCCATTATATAGAGTGAAGTAAGCCAGAAAGATAAAGACCAATACAGTATACTAACGCATATATATGGAATTTAAAAAGATGGTAACGATAACCCTATATGCAAAACAGAAAAAGAGACACAGATGTACAGAACAGACTTTTAGACTCTGTGGGAGAAGGCAAGGGTGGGATGTTCAGAGAGAACAGCATTGAAACAAGTATACTATCAAGGGTGAAACAGATCGCCAGCCCAGGTTAGATGCATGAGACAAGTGCTCAGGGCTGGTACACTGGGGAGACCCAGAGGGATGGGATGGAGAGGGAGGCGGGAGAGGGGATTGGAATGGGGAACACATGTAAATCCATGGCTGATTCATGTCAATGTATGGCAAAAACCACTACAATATTGTAAAGTAATTAGCCTCCAACGAATAAAAATAAATGGAAAAAAATAAAAAAAAAAAATACACTAAAAAAAAAAACCAAGTGATCCATTAGCGATGCGAGAAACATAGGAACACTCGAATACGCCGATGAGATTCACTGTCAAGATATCAACAATAAACACAACTGTACCGAAGTAAACAGAATCTGGCAAAGGTTGAAATTAGAGTCAAGTGTTTGAGCATTTGAGCTTCCTCAGACAGCAGCCCTGAGAGGACACAGGTGTATTAATTAAATGCTAACTGCCGTGTTATGTCCATCCATTACATCTGAATTCTATGAAAGAAGAGCTTAGCAACCCCTACCCCACAACAGTGAAAGTGGTTCCTTAGAACACACAGCTTTCAGAAAATAAAAGGTATCCTAAGTGATGACTGGGTACTCAGTCTCAGATTTTCACCTGAGTGAGTGTAGGAATTTTGTTTTCCATAATGTAGCTTGGGTGTGATGGTTGTTGTAACAAGGTTTAACGTTTTTCTTCTGAAACCCTATTCATGTGTGAACTAAACAAAACCTTTGCCAGTGTTAAGTCACTCAGTCGTGTCTGACTCTTTGCAACCCCATGGACTATGCAGTTCATGGAATTCTCCAGGCCAGAATACTGGAGTGGGTAACCATTCCCTTCTCCAGGGGATCTTCCAAACCCAGGGATTGGACCCAGGTGTCCTGCATTGCAGGCGGATTCTTTACCAGCTGAGCCACCAGGGAAGCCTGTGCTAAATAATGTTCAGCCAAAAGTTTACTGGTGCTACCCTGGCTTGGCAAAGTCTTCCCTGCAAACCAACGTTTATGAGAAATGTGTGAAGGCCGTGACTGGAGTAAGCTCCAGGCTGTCTCTGTCATCCGGGTGTTCACACCGTCCTCCTGCTTTTCTCGAGAAGGCCCATCACAAGACCCATCACCTGACCTCTGGTGTGGACGAACCTCGTTGCTTTGTGTGGTCTTTGTGATATACTCTAAGGCCACGTTATCTGAAGCCTCAAGAAGGCGGGGCATCGTACGGCCCTGCCCGGTCCCCAAGAAGACGGAGCAAAGAGCCAGGCAGGCTTTGAACACAGCCAGGCTCGTCCTGTGGGGCTCTGCAAAAGCATCTTCCCGGGAGGTCCTTTGATTTCACAGCAGAGTGGGCCTCTCCCGACTCTGGTGATGAAACACGGCAGCGTGTAGTCCGGTGGTGAAACGTGGCTTGTTTATCCCCCAGGGTCCCATCAGGAAACAGGTGGCATACTCAAAAAGACATTTAGACAGAGGTGGGGGCCAGGGCACAGGACTTCCTAAGTGACTGGCGGGTATCCAGAGTGGTGGCCTTACCGTTACCACCTGTAGGAAGTGGGACAGAGCCAGGACAGAAACCTAGAAGGAGAGTCGTGTGGAGAGAGAGGACCCATGTCGGGGGCGGAGCGGCTGGCCCTTGAGGATGCAGCCACGTGAGGTGGCCAGGGATGAAAATGCCCTGACCCTCTGACCTCCCGCCACCGCTCCCCTGGGGCCAAAGCATGTGGAGATTGGGAAGACACGGGGGCACTCATGAAACCCGCCAGGTCAGCCTCACGGGCTCCAAGAGTTCACCGACATCAGCCCCTCCGGGTTCACTGGAGGGGCTAAAGGAACTTTGGAGTGAAGCAGCCAGGATGTGAACACAGTTCTTGAGGACCAGAGTGGCTGGTTCTTCAGGATACGCATTCACTCAGCAGACATTTGGTTTCCAGTCTGTGAAAAGCACCACGTGAGGGGCCAAGGATGCTGTCATAGTAGCAGCTTCCCCTGCTGCTGTCCCTTCGAGCCCGGGGCCGGGGCTTCCCCCGTGGACTCTCATAGCCAACCTAGGAGGTGTGTGGGATTCCCGTCACCTGATAGGCAGGCTGTGTGCAGGTGGGGGGGGGGGGCTTGCCCAGGCGCGCAGGGGGATGGGGTCAGCAACAAGACTAGGATCCCATCCCATCCGACCTCATGCCGTACTCCTCACGGGTTGCCCCCGAGAACAGCCCCTTGCTATAAGAAAGTCTAACTGGGGAGAACACCAGTCCGTCAGCGGTGAAGAGTCTCCTTGCAGAACTTTCATCTCTCCCACCTTGAGAACAAGGACGAAGATAGCATCACCGCTCTTAAGTGGGGAAGGTGAGGCGGGGGAAGTATAGTTACCCACAGCTCAGCGGGACCGGCTTCAGGAAGGAAGGCCGCCTCTTTACGAGATGGGGGGTGGTGGCCTGGAAGACCACGGGGTCCAGGCCGAGAATGGGGTTCCTCAGACAGAGTTGCAGTTGTGTTTTATGGGATGGGGCCCCGGACAAGCTCATGATGAAAATACAAGGCAGCCAGTCGGAGAGGAAGGGCCGGGAACGGGGAAGGTGTAAGAGCTTGCGGTGGGGGGCCACAGGGGAGATGCCAGCGAGCTATTCAGCCTCTGTATCCCGTTCTCCACCCAGTGCCCCAGACACGGGGCCCAGGAGCATCCCGAGGTGCCCAGGGCCAGGATAAAATTTAGGTACTTAGATCAGGCCGGCAACTCTACCTCACAGTCTGCGTGTGGTTCGCAGGGGACCATCCCCAGGCCAGCAGCGCTCACTGACCTGCCCTTGGACTTTGTTAGAAATGCAAGCTCGGGGGACCTACTCCTCCTCATTAGAAATGCAACCTACTCCTCAGGCCTCCAGAGACAGCAACTCTGGGCATGGGATCCAGAAATTGCTCTCTCAAGCCCTAGGGTTGGCTCTGAGGCAGGCTCCAGTTTGAGAGCCTCTGCTCATGGGCTTCCCAGGTGGCACCGTGGTAAAGAATCTGCCTGCCAATGCAGGAGACACAGGAGATGTGGGTTCAATCCCTGACTGGGAAGATCCCCTGGAGTAGGAAATGGAAACCTCTTCTAGTATTCTTGCTGGGAAAATTCTATGGACAGCGGAGTCTGGCAGACCACAGTCCATGGGGTCGTGAAAAGTTGGATATGACAGACACACACACACACACAGCTGTGGAGCCACGGATACAAAAGTATGAGGATCATGACTAAGGAATTCGAAACTGTGGTCAGTGGGGCTGGGGTGAGGGGGTGAAGAGGGGGTGGGTCCCCAGGGACAGAGGCATTGAAATAGCACGTGACAGCCCCTGATAAGTAGGGGCAAAGGTGTGTGGGGACGGGGGCAGTGCAGGAGATGTTGCTGTTTGCTCGCTCAGGGGTGTCTGACTCTGTGACCCCGTGGACTGCAGCACGCCAGGCAGGAGATAGGAGGACTCGGGCAAGACTCCAGGTGAGCTCTGGTCACAGTTCAGGGGAGACAGTAGAGCAGGAGTGGGGGAGGAGGGGAGGAGGGCTACAGCTAAGGTTGAGAGGCTGTCGGTGGCACCTGGTTTGTGCCAGCTCACTCGGATCCTCTCCCATTTTCTTCCTGCTCTTCTAAGTCTCTCTTCTGATGCTAAGCCCCTGCTGGGCGGTGGGTGCTGGAAAAGATGCTGGGTATACGGGGCTGGAGACCCCGTGATTCTTCCGGCAGCAGGGAGGCGGCGATGGAAACTGTTGGTTTTGCCCCCTGGTTATGCAGGGAAGTCGGAGGCGGCTTCACTGTCTTGAGTTGAGGGCTGTGGGCGTGCAGACGGGGCGTGTCCAGGGAAGAGGGTTGGGTGTCCGGGAGCCTGTGTGCCTGGGGGCCTGGGCGGGAAGAAAGGCATTTTTAAGGCATTGTAAAATTAAACCTTGTTTTTTAGACAGAATGCTATTGCACACTTAACAGCATTCTGTCTAAAAAACAGTGTTTAATCGCACACTTAACAGGGCTTCCCTTGTGGCTCAGCTGGTAAAGAATCCGCCTGCCATGCAGGAGACCTGGGTTGGGAAGATCCCCTGGAGAAGGGAAAGGCTACCCACTCCAGTACTCTGGCCTGGAGAATTCCAGGGACAGTCCATGGGGTCTCAAAGAGTCGGACACAGCTGAGCAACATTCACACACACACACACTTAACAGACCACAGCATAGTATAAGAAGAAAGGCAGCTCGGGAACCGGGCGGAGGTGGGATCATCACCACGTGTCAGGTGCGCGTCCGCATTTTCTATTTCTGTTATCTCACCCTCACCCAAACCCCCTAGCCTCGTGAGACCATGAAGGACATTCTGAAAGTTGGGGTTTTTATCCCGCGGGCGCCAGGCAGCCTTTGAAGCCTCTCAAGGAGGAAACGGTTGAGCAGATCCTCTGAGTCTCTGGTTCTTCATCCTGACCACGCATTTGCCCTGATGAGGAGCTGATGAAAAGAAAATGCAGCTACCAGCCCAGCCCCGCTCAGCAAAGAAGCCAGGGCCCAGGCCTGGACGGCGGATGGGGCCCGAATGCTGGGGACAACACCTCCAGCGGCCTGGCTAGCTGGAGGGGCTGAGCTCAGACTCAGCAAAAAGCGCTTTGCCTACTATCCTCTAATTGTGGCGTTTTGTTTTCTTTCAGGAATGTCCGTGCCAAAGGTGAGTCTCCTTCCTCCTTCCCCACGTGACTTCATGATGTACGCTGTAAGCTTTACGACCTGTTTTGCCCCTCATTGTCCACAGCTGTGCTCCATTCACTTAACGTGCATCTAGCATCCACCAGGGAACCATCCTGAGTCCCTGTGTGGCCATTTCTTCTCTTTAGAAACTTCTGTGTACAGGCACCCCTCCTGTTATCATGCTTCGCAGAGACTGTGTTTTTGTGCAAACTGAAGGTTTGTGGCAACCCTGTGTTGTCAGATGATGGTTAACATTTTTCAGCAATAAGGCATTTTTAAATTAAGCATTGTTTTTTAGACATAATGCTATTGCACACTTAACAGATCACAGTGTAGTGTAGACGTGACTTTCATGTGCACCGTAAAACCCAAAACTTTGTGTGACTTGTTTTATCAGTTATTGTTCTACTGCGGTGGTCTCGAACCAAACCCGCTGTATCTCTGAGGTCTGCCTGTATAGCCCTTCTCAGGCTAACAATAAAACTGTAAAACAAGAAAAACCTTCATTTCGTTGTTGTCACTATGTAGAGTGTAAGGGAATAAAAAAGTTTTAATCCTGGATCCCACCTCTGGAAGGTCTCCGGTAAGTTGCTAAATACACACCAGCTGCTTTCTGTGCTATTAGCTCTCACTGATGATGCTGGACCAGTGAGGACCTTGTTTCCAGCCCAGACTGTTTCTCTTTGTCAGAGCTGCTTCGGGTACCCCTTGAGCATCTTCTTCATCGTGGTCAATGAGTTCTGCGAAAGGTTCTCTTACTATGGAATGAGAGGTAACTCTTTTCGACACCCCTCACCCCCATTCCCACCCACCCCCCCCACCCCCGGTCAGTGAGGAGCCCGTTACCTCTGCCACTGCTCACTTCGTTGCCATCTCCTCCTCCACTACCCTCTGCAAAAAGCACTCCTGATCCTGTACTTCCAACGTTTCCTGGGCTGGAACGACAACCTGGGCACCGCCATCTACCACACGTTCGTTGCCCTGTGCTACCTGACGCCCATCCTCGGGGCTCTCATCGCCGACTCCTGGCTGGGGAAGTTCAAGTGAGTCGTGGCAGCTCTCTTGTTAACGAGCAAGCCAACAAGTAATGAAGATAAGCCTTGCAATTTGGGATGGTGGTCTCGGGGCATGAAGAATTAGGGAACGTAAAAAACTCCAAGGAGAGGGTCCCAGGCCCCATTTCTGCTCATCCTCGTATGGCCAGAGTTCAGCAGTGGCCTGGCATTCAGCAAGGTGGATGCGAGTAGCATCGGTAGGATTTTTGGCCTCCTGTGTCATGTTGAAATAGTAGCAGGAATATCGTCTGTTAATAATGCGTGAGGAATTAAGGGCTGGGAGAACAAAGAAGCTCCTTAAAAACACCCCAGCAGATGAAAGGCTCAAACTGCTAGATGGTGGGGCATGGGGTGCTCAGCCAGTCATTTAGGGAGAGGTCCAAGAGCACCCTCAGTGGTGGTGGGGGGTGAAGGTGGTCCTCAGGAATTTTCCTTGGACTTAACGCAGAAGGAAGTAAAGGCTCTTCCAGCTGAAATGCGTGACGTGGGCGGAGGCAGGAATATTCACCATCTCAAAATAAGTCAGTATCATTCAAAATTAACCAATGGACCACTCCTGCCCAAGTGTTGTTACCAGATGCACGATCATGCTCTCTCACTGTTCAAAGATGCATGTCCTCATTTTGATAGTTCAAAGAGAAAACGGATCTTCCTTCTCCCCAGGCTCCTCCAGCCACAAGTTTGCTCAACCCCTACCTGCTGGGGGCCGAATTCTTCAGCAGGCTGACTTTCAAAGGGGTATCCGGTTATTGTCCCAATTTGAGAAACAAGGACAGTTGTGACTGGGCTGTTGAGAATTGGAAGCAGAGACCTTTTTGCGCTGGTGTGGGAAGTGGGCAGTCCTTGTGCAGTTGACTTGGATTCTCTCGACCTCTTAACACAGGACGATCGTGTCGCTGTCCGTCGTCTACACGATTGGGCAGGTGGTCATTGCTGTGAGCTCAATTAACGACCTCACGGACTTCAACCACGATGGGACCCCGGACAGTATTTCTGTGCACGTGTGAGTTGATGTTAACCGTGGCCCTACCCGCACCTTCTTGCTACTTGCTTGTTTGGTGTTCTGATTTTTTTTTTTTTAATTTTTAAATTGAAGTATAGTTGATTTACAGTGTTGTGTTAGTTTCTGATGTGCAGCAAAGTGATTCCATTATACATACATATTCTTTTTCATATTTTTTTTATTATGGTTTATTACAAGATATCAAATACAGTTCCCTGTGCGGTATAGTAGGACTTTGTTGTTTATCTGTTTTATATGTAGTTGTATCTGCTAACCCCAAGCTCCTATTTTACCCCTTCTCCCTTTACTGCTCTAATTTTTAATCATTTTCCTTGAAACTTCGGGCTCCCCAGGTGGCACTAGTGGTAAAGAACCCACCTGAAAATGCAGGCGACATTAGCAATGTGGGTTCGCTGGGTCAGGAAGATCCCCAGCGGAGGGCATGGCAGCCCACTCCAGTATGCTTGCCTGGAGCACCCCATGGAAAGAGGAGCCTGGTGGGCTACAGTCCATGGGGTCACAAAGAGTCAGACACGACTGAAGGGACTTAGCACACGGCACACTTGAACCTTCACCCTAAGTGGGTGAACCTAAGTGGAAGGAAGACTCCTTCCCCATCAGTGTAGAGAGAGGTGTTTAACTGACTCAGACTTGGGCCTTCAGGACGTAACTGTTGTTTGGAGTCACTGCTCACTTGGAGGCTTGGCGTCTTGGGTGCACATCCCATTCAGCACACGGAATGTTTGTGTTCATCTCCCTGGAGGGACATTGACCACATGGACCCTGATCCTCGGTTTCCCCTGGTTTCCTCAAGAATCTGTACCTTCAATTCTCAGTCTTGTACCACATCTCTGCTTATTTTTCCGTAATTCAGTTTGTTCCAGTCTGATGTTCTGCTTTCTTGATGAAAAGCACTATTGACACCAGCTCCCCTGTGAGATGAATTTCCCTTCACGGCAGTCTGGCCTAGCAGACAAGTTGTAAAGATTTATTTCACTTCCTGGTCTTTTGCTTTGGTTCCTGGATCTATAGTAAACCATCTAATGGGTTAGGAAAATACCACTGAAATTCAGATTAGTATCTGCAGTATCTTGTGTTTCTGGTTTGTTGCTCAATCAGATTACCTTCCAGACTAGTCCCTGGATGTGACATGCATGGTCCCCCCAGGGAACCATGTTGGTGGGGGGCAGTGGGTATAAACTCAGCCCACAGCTCAAACTCCCAAGGTCTGTGTCCCACAGATGAGCTTTAAGACCTGGGCCAACTTATCTCCTCCATGCCTCAGTTTTCTAACCTACAATATCAATTAAGAACATGTACGTTGGTGCCAGGCTGTATGGGTTCAAGTTCTGCCCATGCCTCTTGCTTGTTGTATGGTCTTCAGCAAGTTTTTCACGTCTGTGCCCAGGAGTCCTCATTTGTAATAATATCCGCCTGTGTATTAATCCAGGTGGAGAACCCGGAACACTGCCTGGCAGGCAGTACATGCTTAAGAAAGCTTAGTGACTTATTTTATTTCGTGAGGTTAGTACTGAAACCCTGCTGAGAGTGGAGGGTATATAATATTCAGTTGGCTATGTTTTTGTTGTCCTTTAAAATGCTTAGAGTGATACCACCAAATACAAGTTGTTTTAAGAGGCAGATAGGCTGAAAGAGATGCTTCTGCTGGTTAATCCAGGAAGATAGACATGGTTTTTAAAAAATATTTTTTTTAATTTTTGAAAAACTCTTGCTATGTGAAGTATTGTCTTTGACTTTATCTGTTTCATAAAATATTTTTAGCATTTTAAAGCAATGTTAACCAAGAAAATATGGAATAAGCACTTATAAAATCTGAAATTTGTAGTGAGTGCAGGCTGAGTCAATTCAGTTGTGTCTGACTCTTCACAGCCCCATGGACTGTAGCCCACCAGACTCTTCTGTCCCTGGGATTCTCTAGGCAAAATACTGGAGTAGGTTGCCATTCCCTCCTCCAGGGGATTTTCGCAACCCAGGGATCAAACCCATGTCTCTTATGTCTCCTGCATTGACAGATGGGTTCTTTACCACTAGCACCACCTGGGAAGCTCAAAATTTGTAGCAACCTATTGTAAATCTAACAAAACTAAAAATGGTAGATCCTATGAGTTATTTTCTTCAATTCAGGAGGTAAAACACAAGTAACTTGAAAAATACAAAAGTAAATTTTAAAGATAATATTTAATCCCTCTTATTATATGATCTCTTTATTATAAAAAAAGTTATAATAATAAACCTTTTGCTCTACTTTTTTCCAGTCTTCTGTACTTTATAAACAAGATCCTACTACATAAACTGCTATTCTGCTTTGCAATTAAATCATGTTTTCTAGAGTCTTCTAACGACTGTTTTGAGTCTGTTATGACTGTATCAGTCATCATGTATAAATTTCACTTACATATTCTTTTGCTAAAAATCATAAGGTTACAAAAGAATTCCATACATAAATCTTTGTTCCACACTCAAACCATTGCTTTAAATTTTCTAGATGATAAATTATTAGATAAAGGTACGGATTTGAAGGCCCTTGAGTTCAAGTTTCATTAAACTGTCAAGACTGCATTCCTGTCAACTATCTTCTCATACAGGTTGAATCACTTCTGTGTGCCTGGTCATCTTAGGGAAATTAGGGGGAAGAGGAGCTCCTACTTCTAAGGATCTCACGTTTCGGAATCCCCACCTCTTCCCAGGGCGCTCTCCATGATTGGCCTGGTCCTGATCGCTCTGGGTACTGGAGGGATAAAGCCTTGTGTGTCTGCATTTGGCGGAGATCAGTTTGAAGAGGGCCAGGTAAGCACATGTGCCTCCGCTGAAACCATATCAATGATTATAAACACCCAGGAATCAAATCCCAGCAACACAAAATGTATTCTCCATTGGAGGCTGTTTGGGTACATGTGACAGTAAGACACTGACCAAAGCTAGGTTCAAAGTCAAGTCCAATCATCAGCTACAGTTGACCCTTTGCTATGTAGCCAAAGTCACCATACGTCATCCTTTCTATTACAGGAAAAGCAAAGGAACAGATTTTTTTCCATCTTTTATTTGGCCATTAATGCTGGAAGTTTGCTTTCTACTATCATCACCCCCATGCTCAGAGGTAAATATATGTATATATCTAAAATGGACCTTGGTTATTCTTTTTATTTTTTAACTGTGAAGAGAAGTCAGGTGGAAAGGTTGAGTCTTTGTTGGTTTGTTTGTCCCTCAATTCTCTCGTAACATTTCAGCCATCATATACATGCTGGAGGACTCAGTGAAATCCAGTATGCCAACTGCTTTTCTTTCAGGCTTTATCTCCTTTTCTAATCTTATTAGAATCCCTTATTCTAGAGACCCCTGCAGAATCTAAACCATCCTTAGTATAGAAATCAATTTTTCTATACTATTTTTTAAATTTGAATTTACTCATTTTTCACGGGAGGATAATCACTTTACAATATTGTGTTGGTTTCTGTCATATAGCAACATTAATCAGCCATAAGTATACATGTGTCCCATCCCTCTCAAACCTCCCTCCCACCTCCCACCCTATCCCACCCTGATTTTTCCATGTTACTCTTAATACAAAGTTCTTATTCATGGTAAAAACTAAGACAAGAGAGGCTGTTTGGAAACTAAACTGGCCAGAGCTGACATTTTCGCCTTCAGACCTTGCTCCCCAGTGACTTTCAGTGAGTCAGGAAGAATTTAGCAGGCTAGGTTTTATTCTTTTTTTTCCTCTCATCTTCTTTCCTTTTTCCTTGTCATCTTCTACTAGATATTTCTAAAAGAACTGCCCCTAAGAAAAAGAGACAACAGCTATCCACGGCACTCAGATCTTTGTGCTTGCCAGCACTCCACTAAGAGTTTATGGATTTCCCACGTGGAAGGAAATATTTGGGAGTAAACGAGACCAAAATAGGTGTCCATTTTGGTTTGTCCATGGTGTCAACACCTCGAGTCGTAATGAATTATGGAAGAAGATAATCATGGGGTTAATGTAGTTCTGCCTGGAATAGTACTTTGAAGATGATATTTAAATCTCATTCTAACTTGTTCTATATGAACATTTATTAGCTTTTATTCTTACATTATGTTTCCTTACCTCCCCTGACCTCCTCCACCTCCAGGTTCTACTACTTTCTAGTATATGCTGTACATGTTTGAATTGGAGAATGTATAATAGGATAATTGTTAAAGGAAAATCATGGCTCTTATACAAATATACAATGAATGTTTTACAAAAATTTTATGTAACTTATTAGTCAGTGAGGGAACTAGAAAACTGCCTCAATCAGTTTAAGGATTTGACTGAGATTCATGCTCTTTACTGGGTGGGGACATTATTTTGCATTGCTGTGAATAGGAATTGCTTGTACAGTCATGAGCAGGAAACATCAGCATGACTACAGTTTTCTGCCAAGTCAACTCTTTTTTTCTCTGCAGAACTGTGAAACGGCTGATCAAAGATAAAGCCAAACCCCTTTAGGATCAGATGATTCCTGAAGGCTGCAGTCATTTCTGTTGCCCCTTTCAGGGTCTTTATTTTTTTTTTCCTACCAATCCTAGGATTTCAGAGCTAAAATAGATCTTCAGTCAGGAGTTGGGAGACTATGGCCCACAGGCCAAATTCAGAAATCTGGACAAAGCCATCAATGTGTGTATTATCTGCGGCTGGCTTCACCCTACAAAAGGCAGGGCTGAGTAGGTAGGACAGGTCTGCAGCCTAAAAGATTTACTGACTCTTCACAGAAAAGTTTGTTGATCCCTGCCCTGGGTGATCTAATTGTTTTCTTTTTTAAATGTAATTTAATTTTATTTGGCCATGTCACATGGCCTGAGGGATCTTGGTTCCCTGACCAGGGATCGAACCTGTGCCCCCTGCAGTAGGAGTGCAGTGTCTTAACCACTAGACCACCAGGAAAATCCCTAACTGTTTTCTAATTGGCATGAATTCAGGGGCATACAATCCTGATTTTCTAGGGCCCTTTGATTTTACTTTCTGAGTCCCACTTTCTTCAGGTTATTGTATCCAGATCATTTTCATCTCCCCTCCTAAGTAAGTCCACAGAACATAAGGGTTCCTACTGATTTTGACTTCGCTGGTATTAGACATCTATTTAGAGGCTAAGGTTAGAACCTCCCTCCATCTCCTGCTATTTCTGCCACAAAGCTACTTTGCTTAGCTGGCAATGACACCAGTAAGCCAAATGAGTAAGTCTAGAAAATTAAATGAAAACAATGTGTAATTACCAGTTAAGGATTAAAAAAAAAACTGAAATAAATGAGTACTACCATTACCATAATGAATTTTAATCTTGTCATTTCCCCCCAGTTCAAGTATGCGGAATTCACAGTAAGCAAGCTTGTTACCCCCTGGCCTTTGGGGTTCCTGCTGCACTCATGGCCGTCTCTCTGAGTAAGTAGAAGTCAGTTAGATTAATACAGTGCTGTGGTCAGGTCAGGCCCTCACATAAATAATTGTTGTGACCAACTTTTAAAAGTTCATGTAACAAATTGTAATAGTTAGCCCGAAGAATTGCCATCCCGTGTTAAACCACACTCTGAGAATTCAAAGAAAATAGAGTTGGCATATGGTTCAGAGAGAATAGGATGGAAAAAAGAGTCTACAGGAAAAGGGATCTCTTGAGTGGGACATTTAAGGATTTAAAACTATTTAGGCAGATTAGGAAGAAGGTATCTTAAGATTAAGATAGAGTCTGCTGGACTAGGTGAACCCATGGCTGAAAGCTTTTGTTCTTGTCATCGACAACTTGCCTAAAGACATGGCAACCTGCTCCAACAGTCATTTAAATACTTCTAAACAAACCTGTTTTCTGAAATGTATCATCTCCAAATGTTTCTACAAGACTATCTTCCCTCTGGGAGAAGTATGTGTGTGTAGTCATTTGCATGTCAAGTTCTTGGCGTTGGCCGCTTAGAAAGTGTGACGAGTATTCCGCAGAAGATAGTCCAATTTGAAAGATGGCTCGGTTCAGGTCAGTCACTCAGTCGTGTCTGACTCTTTGCGACTCCATGAACCACAGCATACCAGGCCTCCCTGTCCATCACCAACTCCCGGAGTTTACTCAAACTCGTGTCCATCGAGTCGGTGATGCCATCCAGCCATCTCATCCTCTGTCGTCCCCTTCTCCTCCTGCCCCCAATCCCTCCCAGCATCAGGGTCTTTTCCAATGAGTCAACTCTTCACATGTGGTGGCCAAAGAATTGGAGTTTCAGCTTCAGCATCAGTCATTCCAATGAACACCCAGGACTGATCTCCTTTAGGATGGACTGGTTGGATCTCCTTGCAGTCCAAGGGACTCGCAAGAGTCTTCTCCAACACTACAGTTCAGAAGTATCCATTCCTCTGAGCTCAGCTTTCTTCACCATCCAACTCTCACATCCATACATGACCACTGGAAAAACCATAGCCTTGACTAGACGGACCTTTGTTGGCAAAGTAATGTCTCTGCTTTTTAATATGCTATCTAGGTTAGGCATAACTTTCCTTCCAAGGAGTAAGCGTCTTTTAATTTCATGGCTGCAGTCACCATCTGCAGTGATTTTGGAACCCCAAAAAATAAAGTCTGACACTGTTTCCACTGTTTCCCCATCTATTTCCCATGAGGTGATGGGACCAGATGCCATGATCTTAGTTTTCTAAATGGTGAGCTTTAAGCCAACTTTTTCACTCTCCTCTTTCACTTTCATCAAGAGGCTTCTCAGTTCTTCTTCACTTTCTGCCATAAGGGTGGTGTCATCTGCATGGCTGAGGTTATTGATATTCTCCCAGCAATCTTGATTCCAGCTTGTACTTTTTCCAGCCCAGCGTTTCTCATGATGTACTCTGCATAGAAGTTAAATAAGCAGGGTGACAATATACAGCCTTGACGTACTCCTTTTCCTATTTGAAACCAGTCTGTTTTTCCATGTCCAGTTCTAACTGTTGCTTCCTAACCTGCATAAAGGTCAGGAAAGATGGTACATGTCTTCATTTCCTTGGGCTACCATAACAAAATACCACAGACTGAGAGGCTTAAATAACAAAAATTTATTATCTCACAATTGTGGAGGCCAGATTGAAGAAAATTAACATGGAGTGAGAATACAAGCAAACCTCTCTTCCTTTAACAATAAAGAACACCCACAATCTGGCACATACTTGGAGATATGCTTGAGAGCTAGCACCTGTCAAAACTTCAAGCCTTCTTAAACTGACAAGAACAAATAGATCATCAAACAATCCATCAGTGTTTTAAAATTACTGAGTTGTGGTGTTGGATAATCAGAAATCCTAGCATAGGGATTGTTTTTCAGAATCTCTTGCGGAAAGACTCCCCCACTCCAAGTTATTTTCACAATGCTATGCATTTGCTGAGAAGGTCCATGGAAGAATGACCTCATTGAAAAAGTGCTTTTAACCTTCATAAAAATGTAACTGCAGATGCATAGATGGGCAAATCTATTTCTGTCCCATGACCACCGAGTAAATTCTGCCACATGTGATTAAGTAAAAGTTTCAACAAATTAATTCCTATTTTTTGTCTGTAGATCTGAAAAAAGAAGAAAAAACTTCTCTTCTCATTGCAACCCCAGAAAATTAAAGCTGTGTTCTCTGCCCTTGTGGAATAAGGCATTAATCTGCTTTGTCAAAGCACTTATCCCTTTAAAGAGGAATAGGACTCATGCTCAAATAGCTGTACTGAGCGTCTGCAAGCTGCCCCAAGTTCTGGGAAGGAGATGGTATTAGGTTTCAATGTTTGCATATGAAAACACAGTGTAATATTTCTCAGAAGCCCCTGTGATTATTAGAGTCAAAAGCACTGTGGAACCTGGGAGAGAGGGAGGTAAACCCACCCTTTGAGCCATCCCAGTATGCTCAAATAAAAACACATGTTCTGGGTCACAGACAGTTCTGTCAAACACTTGCTGACATGTCTTCTTCTGCCCTCCCCAGTCGTGTTTGTCATTGGCAGTGGAATGTACAAGAAATTCAAGCCCCAGGGGAACATCATGTCTAAAGTCGCCAGGTGCATTGGGGTAAGTATTTCAGTGCTCCTCTCTCTCAATCACATTTCATCACCGGCCCCCCACCCCGAACTTTCTGCCTCCTTTAAATTAAATCTCCATGAACCTTTGACTTTGCTCTAAACATTTTTTTGGTGGCCTTTACTCTTTTGATAAATTGAAGTTTCTTATAAAACTCAAAACAGGAAGGATGGAAAAATAGCTCTTGAACTTTTAAAATAAGATCAGCGGTGAAAGAAAAATCAGAGGGACTCTTCGCTTCTTTAAAAATGACAAGCGATGTCTGATGTTGGTCAGAGAGCAGTTGGAACTAAGATGGAGAGGCCAGGTTTCATAGTGTATATCCAGAGTGGAAGCGTGGACAGTGTCAGTGATCTTACTTTCAGGAACCAAGGTCAAGAAAATAACTTTTAGAAATGAACACAGCTTCACACTAGAAGATTGTAATTCTACTGGATGCTGCTCCGTGGAGAATCCAGAGAGTGAAGTAATAACAGTGTGATTTTGTTTACTGCGGCTCAAACACTCCCAGTTAGTGAGAGGTTAAAAATAAATGCATGTTAGGCCTCTAGCATGGTCATGCCACATGTCTTCTCTCCTGAGTCTTCCACTGAAGGGAGTTCAACTGAAACGTGTCTCACTGATAAAGGAGTCGGTTCTGCTTTGAAACTTGCTTGTTCTTCCTTCCTTTCAGTTTGCCATCAAAAACAGGATTAGGCATCGGAGTAAGAAATTTCCTAAGAGGGAGCACTGGCTGGACTGGGCTAGCGAGAAATATGATGTAAGTGATGATTGTTGCTATAATGGCCCCAGTGATTGCAATTCTTGTTATTAAGGCTACATGGATAAAATTATCAGTTGTATCTTCATCAAGTTTATTAGTATTTTAAAGAAGACAATGCATGAAAGAGCTTATTTACACTGAAAAGAACTTGAGAAACAGTGATATATAATTTATCTAGAAACAGTATTACCTTTCTGTAGACATTTGTGTGGAATCATCTGCCTTGAGTTATGTGTCATTATGATCACATAACTTTAGATCAAATATGGAAGAGTTAAGTGATGGTGGTGGGATTTACATTTAGTGAATTTACCTTGAAACGAGTAACTTACCTCAAATGTTAAAGATGTTTTCATTCATATTTTCAATAGATAAGGAATTTAGGGTTTTCTAAAGAAACCTGTGATAGAGTTGTTAGAACTCACCTCCCAGTTTGTCTCTAGATGTGATCATGTCTATGCTTCATCGGGGGAAAGCTGTGCTGATTGTGGCAGGTTGTGACTGACACCCTGTCTCCCTCCAACTGCAGGAGCGGCTCATCTCTCAAATTAAGATGGTTACAAGGGTGATGTTCCTGTACATTCCTCTCCCCATGTTCTGGGCCTTGTTTGATCAGCAGGTAACATGAAACTATGTTTCTGTACATCTTCATTAACAGGACATGCTTTGGGCATATTTAGCTCCTGAAAATGTTCTCTGAAAGTGTTCCTTTTTCATGTTTCATTTATATGGTAACTGTTAGATCACCTTGTTGTTGTTCAGCCATTCAATTGTGTCTGTCTCTTGGTGATCCCATGAACTGTAGCACGCCAGGCTTCCCTGTCCTTCACCATCTCCCAGAGCTTGCTCAAACTCATGTCCGTTGAGTCGGTGATGCCATCCAACCATCTCATCCTCTGTTGCCCCTTCTCCTCTTGCTCTCAATCTTTCCCAGCATCAGGGTCTTTTCCGATAGATTGCCCTGGGTTTCTTTTTTTTTTTTTTTAATTAACTCTAGATGGTTCTATCCACATTTGTATAGCAAAATAATGAAGAAAATTAGGTGGGGGTCGAGTAAAGGAGCCTTGGAAAATGTTGTTTAACTTTTTATTTTGTATTGGGGTGTAGCCAATTAACAATGTCATGACAGTTCCAGGCGTCCAGCCCAGGGACTCAGCCACACATGTACGAGTATCCATCCTTCCCTCCATCCAGGCTGCCACAAAACATTGAGCAGAGTTCTCTGTGCTCTGCAGTAGGTCCTTGTTGGTTCCCCATTTTAAATCCAGCAGTGTGTACTTGTCCATAGGAGTCTTGCAAAAGATTTGACCCAAGTATCCAGGACTCCTGCCAGTCAGAGTGAGAACAAAGTTTTTCTACTGATGGTTGTTTATTCGCTGCTCAGTCATGTCCAGTTCTTTGTGACTCCATGGACTGCAGCATACCAGGCTTCCCTGTCCCACTGTCTCCCAGAGTTGCTCGAATTCATATCCATTGAGTCAGTGATGATATCCAACCATCTCATCCTCTGTCATCCCCTTCTCCTCTTGCCCTCAGTCTTTCCCAGCATCAGGGTCTTTTTCAGTGAGTCATCTCTTTGCAATAGGTGGCCAAAGTATTGGAGCTTCAGTTTCAGCAACAGCCCTTCAAGTGAGTATTCAGGGTTGATTTCCTTTAGGATTGACTGGTTTGATACAGCAAGTAAAAATGTATAGTCTTGTATGAGATCCACAGAATATTTAGACTGAGACTTGGTATCTTCCACACTGAAATGGGATACTTGGGCTAGAAGTACCATCCAGAAATGTGAAATGACTCTGCCAAAGTCATTCTTCCCAGAGCAGGAGCTAGAACACATCATTCACTTGTCACAGCTGGAAGATACGTACCTAGGAATTTTTCAAAATAGGATTAGAAAATCCAATGCATGAAGCTCAGGAGCCAAAGTCATAAGATAGCCTTTCTTTTAGAAACTGAGGTTGAAGAAAAAAAATTTGCACACATGCATGGTTTTATTGCACAGGAATGATTATTAAAAGGATATATCTGAAACAGATCACCAGCCCAGGTTGGATGCATGAGACAAGTGCTCGGACCTGGTGCACTGGGAAGACCCAGAGGGATCAGGTGGAGAGGGAGGTGGGAGGGGGGACCGGGATGGGGAATACATGTAAATCCATGGCTAATTCATTTCAATGTATGACAAAAACCACTGCAATGTTGTAAAGTAATTAGCCTCCAACAAATAAAAATAAATGGAAAAAAAAAAAAGGATATATCATCTCTTGGGGAAAAAAAAAATGTAGACATTAATCTTCTCATTTGAAAGTATGGAATTTAGACCAGTGTCTTAACTGGTTTTGCATGTTGGGCAGGGACCAATTATTAGAACCAGGCTTGCACTAGGAATGCACTCAGCACCTTTCAGCTGTGTGACTTGGTGTCATCCTGTGAGCCTTCTGAAAGTGTAATGACCCAGGACAAGGCAGTGGGGATCAAAAGAGAGAGCGTGTGTTAAGTAGTCAGTGACCGGCTCAGATTAAGAGCTCCCAGTGGCAGACTTCCTGACTTTCTATGCTGTTCTCTCAGTGGAGGGACCAGATGTGATAGATTACACTGGAGCAGTCACATATCCAGTTCTCCAGGGGCTATACAACATACACTTGTACAGTGCTGCGTCATCTGTCACTGCAAAACAGGTTGAATGTGTCAATAGGCTGCCCAGGTTTAAATCCATCACCCTCTTGATGGAGTTACAGTCTAGCTGTAGGACAGTCTAGCTGTTAGCAGTAGAACTTAACAGTTACGATATTCCTGAAACTGTGATCTTTGTATGTAGAGAATATCCTCAGGGTATGAAGCTGCTCTCACTTCGCATGTGATGTCAGCTTCCCAACAAACCTCAGAAGTGCGTTTTTGTCTTTCTGAAGGATGTTGTTGTTATTCAGTCGCTAAGTTCATGTCCTACTCTTTGTGACCCCATAGTCCGCAGCATGCCAGGCTTCCCTGTCTTTCACTATCTACCAGAGTTTGCTCAAACTCATGTCCATTGAGTCAGTGATGCTATCTAATCATTTCATCCTCTGCTGCCCTCTTCTCCTGCCTTCAATCTTTTCCATCCTCAGGGTATTTTCCAGTGAGTCGTCTCTTTGTATCAGGTGGCCAAACTATTGGAGCTAGCTTATCTCAAAGCAGTAGTTGGTGCATTCTTCATGAGGACTTGGAGTACTATTTGTTGTTAATTGAACAGTGGAAATGCAAACAGTTTGTCCTCACCTATAGTCACAGCATAGCCGGAGACCAGCCTGATGCTGACAGTTTAGATCACATCCTGGGCCATAAATCTAGTCTTGGTAAATTCAAAAAGATTGAAATCATTCCAGTCATCTTTTCTGACCACAGTGCAGTAAGATTAGATCTTAATTACAGGAAAAAAATTATTAAAAATTCAAACATATGGAGGCTAAACAACACGCTTCTGAATAACCAACAAATCATAGAAGAAATCAAAAAAGAAATCAAAATATGCATAGAAATGAATGAAAATGAAAACACAACAACCCAAAACCTATGGGACACTGTAAAGGCAGTGCTAAGGGGAAGATTCATAGCATTACAGGCCTACCTCAAGAAACAAGAAAAAAGTCAAATAAATAACCTAACTCTACACCTAAAGCAACTAGAGGAGGAAGAAATGAAGAACCCCAGGGTTAGTAGAAGGAAAGAAATCTTAAAAATCAGGGCAGAAATAAATGCAAAAGAAACTAAAGAGATCATAGTAAAAATTAACAAAGCTAAAAGCTGGTTTTTTGAAAAAATAAACAAAATTGACAAACCATTAGCAAGACTCATTAAGAAACAAAGGGAGAAGAACCAAATTAACAAAATTAGAAATGAAAATGGAGAGATCACAACAGACAACACTGAAATACAAAGGATCATAAGAGACTACTACCAGCAGCTCTATGCCAATAAAATGGACAACTTGGAAGAAATGGACAAGTTCTTAGAGAAATATAACTTTCCAAAACTGAACCAGGAAGAAATAGAAGATCTTAACAAACCCATCACAAGCAAGGAAATCGAAACTGTAATCAGAAACCTTCCAGCAAACAAAAGCCCAGGACCAGATGGCTTCACAGCTGAATTCTACCAAAAATTTAGAGAAGAGCTAACACCTATCTTACTCAAACTCTTCCAGAAAATTGCAGAAGAAGGTAAACTTCCAAACTCATTCTATGAGGCCACCGTCACCCTAATTCCAAAACCAGACAAAGATGCCACAAAAAAAGAAAACTACAGGCCAATATCACTGATGAACATAGATGCAAAAATCCTTAACAAAATTCTAGCAAACAGAATCCAACAACATATTAAAAAAATCATACATCATGACCAAGTGGGCTTTATCCCTGGAATGCAAGGATTCTTTAATATCTGCAAATCAATCAATGTAATACACCACATTAACAAATGGAAAGATAAAAACCACATGATTATCTCAATAGATGCAGAAAAAGCCTTTGATAAAATTCAACATCCATTTATGATTAAAACTCTCCAGAAAGCAGGAATAGAAGGAACATACCTCAACATAATAAAAGCTATATATGACAAACCCACAGCAAGCATCACCCTCAATGGTGAAAAACTGAAAGCATTTCCCCTGAAATCAGGAACAAGACAAGGGTGCCCACTCTCACCACTACTATTCAACATAGTTTTGGAAGTTTTGGCCACAGCAATCAGAGCAGAAAAAGAAGTAAAAGGAATCCAGATAGGAAAAGAAGAAGTGAAACTCTCGCTGTTTGCAGATGACATGATCCTCTACATAGAAAGTCCTAAAGACTCTACCAGAAAATTACTAGAGATAATCAACGAATACAGTAAAGTTGCAGGATATAAAATTAACACACAGAAATCTCTTGCATTCCTATACACTAACAATGAGAAAACAGAAAGAGAAATTAAGGAAACAATACCATTCACCATTGCAACAAAAAGAATAAAATACTTAGGAGTATATCTACCTAAAGAAACAAATGACCTATACATAGAAAACTATAAAACACTGATGAAAGAAATCAAAGAGGACACAAACAGATGGAGAAATATACCGTGTTCATGGATTGGAAGAATCAATATTGTCAAAATGGCTATACTATCCAAAGTGATCTACAGATTCAATGCAATCCCTATCAAACTACCAACGATATTTTTCACAGAACTAGAACGAATAATTTCACAATTTGTATGGAAATACAAAAAACCTCGAATAGCCAAAGTAATCCTGAGAAAGAAGAATGGGACTGGAGGAATCAATCTGCCTGACTTCAGACTATACTACAAAGCCACAGTCATCAAGACAGTATGGTACTGGCACAAAGACAGAAATATAGATCAATGGAACAGAATAGAAAGCCCAGAGATAAATCCACGAACCTATGGTCACCTTATCTTTGACAAAGGAGGCAAGGATATACAATGGAAAAAAGACAACCTCTTTAACAAGTGGTGCTGGGAAAACTGGTCAACCACCTGTAAAAGAATGAAACTAGAACACTTTCTAACACCATACACAAAAATAAACTCAAGATGGATTAAAGATCTAAATGTAAGACCAGAAACTATAAAACTCCTAGAGGAGAACATAGGCAAAACACTCTCCGACATAAATCACAGCAGGATCCTCTATGACCCACATCCCAGAATTTTAGAAATAAAAGCAAAAATAAACAAATGGGACCTAATGAAACTTAAAAGCTTTTGCACAACAAAGGAAACTATAAGCAAGGTGAAAAGACAGCCCTCAGATTGGGAGAAAATAATAGCAAACGAAGCAACAGACAAAGGATTAATCTCAAAAATATACAAGCAACTCCTCCAGCTCAACTCCAGAAAAATAAATGACCCAATCAAAAAATGGGCCAAAGAACTGAACAGACATTTCTCCAAGGAAGACATACAGATGGCTAACAAACACATGAAAAGATGCTCAACATCACTCATTATCAGAGAAATGCAAATCAAAACCACAATGAGGTACCATTACACACCAGTCAGGATGGCTGCTATCCAAAAGTCTACAAGCAATAAATGCTGGAGAGGGTGTGGAGAAAAGGGAACCCTCTTACACTGTTGGTGGGAATGCAAATTAGTACAGCCACTATGGAAAACAGTGTGGAGATTTCTTAAAAAGCTGGAAATAGAACTGCCATATGACCCAGCAATCCCACTTCTGGGCATACACACCGAGGAAACCAGATCTGAAAGAGACACGTGTACCCCAATGTTCATCGCAGCACTGTTTATAATAGCCAGGACATGGAAGCAACCTAGATGCCCATCAGCAGATGAATGGATGAGGAAGCTGTGGTACATATACACCATGGAATATTACTCAGCCATTAAAAAGAATTCATTTGAATCAGTTCTAATGAGATGGATGAAACTGGAGCCCATTATACAGAGCGAAGTAAGCCTGAAAGATAAAGACCATTACAGTATACTAACACATATATATGGAATTTAGAAAGATGGTAACAATAACCCTATGTGCAAAACAGAAAAAGAGACTCCTATGTATAGAACAGACTTGTGGACTCTGGGAGAAGGCGAGGGTGGGATGTTTCAAGAGCACAGCATTGAAACACGTATATTATCTAGGGTGAAACAGTTCACCAGCCCAGGTTGGGTGCATGAGACAAGTGCTCGGGCCTGGTGCACTGGGAAGACCCAGAGGGATTGGGTGGAGAGGGAGGTGGGAGGGGGGACCGGGATGGGGAATACATGTAAAAAAAAAAAAAAAAAGATACACTATGGTTGTGATAAAAAAATAAATAAATAAATAAATTAAAAAAAAAAAAAAAGACATTTCTCCCACCCATAAAATTCCTCTATTTATGTCATTTAATACATGCAAAATAAAATATTTATTTCCATTTTGGTATTCCTTAGATTAGAGCATTTAACTCCTAAATCTACATTTCATTAAGACTGATCAATTCATCTTAAATGTCAACTGAGCTTTAAGAGGGTGTGTACAAATTTGAAAATCAAAGCAACTCAGTAAGTGAAAGACACCATTTAGAACCAACCCCAAATGTATTGTAATCTTTTTCTATCATGTCTACTGATTGCATTCATGTTTAGATTCAGACTTATTTTTCTAATGCAACTTTACAATTAAAAATTACATTTATCATCTTTGTGCAATTCTTATGGAGTCAATAAAGAAGGAAATGGTTACCAAAAAAAAAAAAAATAAACCCCGTAACAATTCAGACCTCATTCCTGATTAGGAAAAGACTCCACACTGACTTGTAAAACATTTAAAACCCATGTTCCCAAATGATGCAGTAAGCCTATTTGTTTTTTAAGGGCTCCAGGTGGACACTGCAAGCAACAACCATGAGTGGGAAAATTGTAAGTTTGGAGCATGGAGATATGGACAGCCCCGGGTCACTATTCCTTTGCCCTCTTTCTGCTTCCCTCTCTTAACATTTCAAGCCCTCAAGCGATCCTCTATGAGAACTTATCAGTGAGATATCCCCTCTCTTTTTTAGGGAATCATTGAGATCCAGCCAGATCAGATGCAGGTAGGAGAAAATACTTCAGTTGCCTTCCGAGCTCAGAGCCACCACTGAGACAGTAACAGCCCCTCTCCACTTCACCTGCAGACGGTGAACGCCATCCTGATTGTCATCATGGTCCCCATCGTGGATGCTGTGGTATATCCTCTGATCGCAAAGTGTGGTTTAAATTTCACGTAGGTGACCCTCGGCTTAGGGTCGGGGTTGGGGCTGTGTTCCCTCACCTCCCAGGGCCCTGGTGGTAGGAATGTCTGGCTCTTCTCCCACAATTCGACGTGTCTGAGGGAGTTTTCCAAGAAATATTTTTGAAGCAGATGTCTATGTGCTGGTGTTTCTGAAAATTTGACCTTAAAATAATAGTGCTATTAATGGCTGTCTGCAGAAGCCTCTAATTAAGACTCCCTGGTATGCACAGATGATAGAAATTTCAACTATGATCCAGAGGAGTCTCTAGAAATTGAATGTCCAAATGCAAGTGGGAAAGTGTATTACGTTTATCCTCCTTTGTCTTGGTTATGAATAAGAGCCAAAGAGGCCCTTGGAGGGACTTCCCTGGCAGTCCAGTGGTTAAGACCCCGCACTTCCACTACAGGGGCCACAAGTTCGATTCCTCGTTGGGGAACTAGGTTCTCTCAAGCCCTGTGGCACAGACAAAAATAAACAAATGAAGATGTGGGCTTAATTTAAAAATAAAAGAGAGACCCTTGGGATCCACGTGTTTACGGAGGAATTGGTTTTGTCTGGGGATGGGAGAAGAGGACTCCCTTCAGGCGTTGCCCTCAGCTCACTTGCCCACGGCTTCCTGAGAGTCACCCTCTCACTCATCCCCCACAGCTCCTTGAAGAAGATGACAGTTGGCATGTTCCTGGCTTCCATGGCTTTTGTGGCGGCTGCCATCGTGCAGGTGGAGATTGACGTGAGTTGCCTTCTGATTCTGCAGTGGCCTTTCCTGGTGGGTCGGGGAGGGGGCGGGGTGCATCCTCCTCCAGGACTGAAACTATGAAGGGGGCCAGGGATTGGCTGGTGAAGCAAGTCCTGGAGCTGTGGATGGTGTGCCCTTTCAGTCAGCATGCCCTGAGGGTTCTCCCTGCAGAGGACACAGCCAGGATACAGGGCCGAAAGGGCACGCTCAGGAGAAAACTTAGATGGCACTTATTTACATGGGGGCTTCCATTTAGAATACAGTTTTTATGATGGAGGGAAGGTTGTGGAACTTGTTTTGCAATCTGAACTCCTCAGAGATCTGGTTAAAGGTATGGCAAAACACTACTACAATATTGTAAAGTAATTAGCCTCCAACTAATAGAAACAAATGGAAAAAAAAACAGAGTTTGGTCACTCACACAGGCCTTCAAAAAGCTTGTTAATGGGAAATTGTTAATGGGAAGACACCTTTTGTATATGGTTAGTTCTGCAGCAGCTCACCCACACGTCAGTTGGGCTCAATGTGGGACTGAGTTGTTCATCTGAGGTCTTAGATAGAAGGTCTCTCTCTCTCTCTCTGTCTCTCATACCCTCTCCGCTCTCCCCTCCTTTCCCACTCCTTCACCCCATGTCTCTCTCTCTCTCTCTCTTTCTCCATCTCTGTCTTTCTGTCCCTCCCTCCCTTTCCCTTCTCTGTTTAAATTTTTAACTGTGGCAAAATATATATAACATAAAATTTGCCATCTTAACCATTTCTGCGTGTACAGTTTGGTAGCGCTAAGAACATCCATATGGTTGTGACCTCAATCTCTAGAGCTCTTTCCGGCTTGCAAAACTGAAACCCTGTACCCACTCAACAACAGCTCCCTGTTTCCCGTTTCTCCAGTCCCCTAGGCATGACCTTTCTTTTTTCTCTCCATGAATTTGACTGTTCTCTGTATCTCGTGAAAGTGGAGTCGTACAGTACTTGTCTTCTTCTGTCTGACTGACTTCACTGAGCACGATGACATCATGTTGTAGGCCGTGTCAGAGTTTCCTCCCTTTAGGCAGAATAGAGTCTGATGTAACACCTGTTGTTTTCCATTTACTGGTTGATGGACACTGGGTCATTCCACCTCGTGGCTGTTGTCAGTAATACTGCCATGAACTTGGGTGTGTTCACCTTCTCTTGGACAGGACTCGCTTTATGGAAAAATGAATTATGGGGCTAAAATCGACATGGATTGCCTCAGTGACCCTGGGATTTGAGAGAAGACATGGTAGGGAAAAAGCAGGACCCCTGATCAGGGTGTGAGGCAGGAGTCCATAAAGCGTTGTGAGGGGATCTTCAGAGGACCGTGTCCAGGGCTGAGGTCCCGGCCTCCAGAGTTATGAGCAAGGAGGCTGGCATCAGGAGAGAGAAGATCCCAGGCCCTACCAGAGCAACCTCGTGTAGGGGATGGTTACTCTGAGCCTTCACGTACTGGGCTGCGTGACCTGGCATCCTTTGACCAGGTTTGACTTCGAGGTGGCCAGGTGGGAGCTGGGGCAGCCTCTTGCTGACCATTACCATGCTCTGTATGAACTTTGCTTTCTCTGGGTGCCAGGAGATGTGGAAATGGAGGCCTCCTGGGCTTCGTGGTGGATGCCTGGTGTGCCTCGGCCAAGATGGCTGCCTCGGCCAAGATGGCTGCCGTCTCACCTAGGGGGATAGGATCGCAGCGCCAAGGTTAAGGTCATCATCAACATGCACCAAGGACCTCAAGGCCACGTCTCTTTTGTTTTGCTCAGAAAACTCTGCCCGTCTTCCCCAAAGGAAATGAAGTCCAAATCAAAGTCCTGAATATAGGAAATAATAACATGACCATGTCTTTTCCCGGAACGACAGTGACATGTGGCCCAATGTCTCAAGTAAGTGGAAGTGAGCTTGTTTTTCCATCTTCTGACCCGAATTATAATAATAGGGTTTGGAGAGCCGATCTTCTGGATTCTTGGAACAATCCCAAGATGAGCCCCAAAGTGAAACGTCTTCATCTTTCATCTAATTCTGGCTTCACTCTGGACCAGTGTCTATGACTCACCCGGGTAGCTTGTTAAAATGCAGATTTGTGACCAGTGGGTCTGAAGTGCTGTATTTTTACAAGCTCTCGGGTGACAGTGCTTTTGCTGGTGATGGAACCACACTTTAAAGAGCAAGGTTCTGGGTCAGTGGTTCTCCACCAGCGCCATCTGGCCCCTCAGGGAACACTGGGCAATCTCTGGAGACATTTTTTTGCTGTCACAACTGGGATTTTGCTGTTGGCATCTCCTGTGTAGAAGCTAGGAGCTTCCCAGGTGGCACAATGGTAAACAGGAGGCACAAGAGGTGTGGGTTCAATCCCTGGGTCGAGAAGATCCCCTGGAGAAGGAAATGGCAACCCACTCCAGTATTTTTGCCTGGAGAAGCCCATGGACAGAGGAGCCTGGTGGGCTAAGGTCCGTGAGGTTGCAAAAGAGTTGGACATGACTGAGTGACTGAACATGTGCGTGTATGCACGCGCGTGCGCGCGCACACACACACACAGAGCAACTAGAGATACTGACACACCAGTCCCTCAACAAAGAATTGTCTGGCCCCAAATACCAATAGCACTGAGGCTGGAACACCACACTGTAGATGGATGGTCATGGGTCTCAATTAGAGCTTCTCAACCCGAAGTCTGGAGAGCTTTGATAATTCTAACACCAACATCCCAGCTCCAGAAGTTTTGATTTAAGTGGTCTCATTGCTGTTCAGCCACCTCTTGAGGGCCACTCCCTTAGATCTCACCAAACTAATAATTGTGCAGGAAGAAAGAGTGTTTGACTCCTGATGCTTAGGAAAGGCCACTATTGGTTTTCACCCAGGCTGTTGCTTTTCCTCAATGTGGCTCTTTGCCCAATGGTAGAAATAAGTTCCATAGCATTTATCATCTTAAAATGAAAGTAAAATGCTGAATGAAAGTCATAGTTCCTGTAGTAATGCTAAACAACTTTAGACTAGCGTCCACAGGGGCAGGCTGGTGCGGGAGCTGAGACAAACCAGTGCCAGCTCCCCGCAAGGCATTTTTGATGTGTAAGAACATGACCTGGGAATGTCAAATAGTATGCATGACAGTGTCACTTAGTACAGAACAAGGCTCTGGTGTAAACTGTGACTCCTTTCCCCCCATTATAGACAAAAGAATTTATGACTTTCAACGTAGACAACCTAAGTGTAAACATTTCTTCTACTGGATCACCAATCGCTCCAGTAACTCATAACTTTGAGTCAGGCCATCGCCATACCCTTCTCGTTTGGGCCCCAAATAACTACCAAGTGGTAAGTAGCGGGACACTTCCAGCTGATTCTAACTGTTTGTGTTGTTGGAGACATGGCCGTTTAGTGGTGTGACTTTGTTTTACCCCCATGTAGGATTGTATTAGATAATCCTCAATTCTTGCTTTTTCAAGGACATAGTCATCTGACTTCCAATAAAGGTTTGACTGGTGAATGGGAAGGGTTGATAGGAATTTGACAGATTTTAAAAAGAACTTCTGGGCACAGTATGGTGTGTTTGAACACAAGTCACATAGTACCTGTGTGCATTCTCAGAGACTTTTTGAGATAAAGTTTTCAATGTACCTTTAATAGTATTCATTTTAAAAATTGGCAGTGGGTAATTGGGAAATTAGAGCCATCTCTGGAAAAAATAGTGACTGCATTAAGTAAAAGCAATAGAAATGCATTAAAATGATTTCATGACAAAGTATGAACATCTAGATATTCCGTTCGGCATATAAAGAAGCTATGAAGGTGTAGTTGACCTAGTGAAGGAGTTTTGGGTATTCTGTAAGATGAGTTTTGGTGAGCTTCTACAAAACTGCAATACAGAATTAAGACTTGTTGGTAATGTGTGTAATTAGGGGGCTGTTGAGAGGCTTGCCCTAAATCCTTAAGAGAGCAGTGTTCTGTGGAACCACTAAAAAGCAAGCACTAAAAATTGTACAGGCTTGTGGAACTCTGCTCAATATTATGTGGCAGCCTGGATGGGAATGGAGTCGGGGGAGAATGTACACATGTTTATGTGTGGCTGAGCCCCTTTGCCCTTCACCCGAAACTATCACAACACCGTTAATTGATTAAACCCCAAAACAAAATGGCTTTCCAGGTGGCGCAGTGGTAAAGAACCCACCTGTTAGTGCAGGAGACATAAGAGACGTGGGTTCGATCCCTGGGTCAGGAGGATCCCCTGGAGAAGGAAATGGCAACCCACTCCAGTATTCTTGCCTGGAAAAATCCCAAGGACAGAGGAACCTGGCGAGCTACACTCCGCAGGGTCATAAAGAGTTGGACACGACTGAAGTGACTTAGTATGCACGCACAATACAAAATAAAAAAGTTTTTAAAAATTGTAAAGGCTCCTTTTAACTTCACATAAACCAAGGCTGAGTGGTGGAGCCTAGCTAATTTAATCACGGTGCCCTTAGCTCCTAGAATAAATGTCCCCAGCATTCTCCTTCTCTAAAGCCTGAACTGTTCATCGGAACTTATTCTAAGGAGTTAGATTTGGTCATGTTTTCTTTCTCAGGTAAAAGATGGCCTTAACCAGAAGCCAGAAAAAGGGAGAAATGGAATCAGGTATGTGTACTTCTTCAACACTCGTTATATCAGCTTCTTGTGGAAGTAATGTGTACCCATGGTAAAATCCAGCTGTAACAAAGATATCAAATGAGAGTCTGGGCTTTCCCCCAAGAATGTGAGGCAGGTTCAGTATTTTTTAAATCATAAATAAAATCCATCATCTTAATATACTAAAGAGGAAAACCCACATCATCAAATCAATTGATGCAGAAAAAAGATTTGATAAAATTCAGCATCCATTCATTTAACAACCCTCAGCAAACTAGGAGCTGAAGGGAAGTTCCTTATTCTGAAAAAGTACTGGACTTCCCTGATGGTCTAGTGGTTAAGAGTCTGCCTGCCAGTGCAGGGGGCCCAGGTTCAGTCCCTGGTCAGGGAAGATTCTGCACACCACGGGGCAACTAAGCCTGATCCACAACTACTGAGCCCACATACTGTAACTACGGAGCCCCAGTACACTAGAGCCCCTGCTCCACAACGAGAGAAGCTGCTGGGAAGCCTACGCACCGCAGAGGAGCAGCCCCACTCACGCGACTGGAGGAAGCCCGTGCGTGGCAGCAAAGACCCCGTACAGCAAAACAAATAGGATTGCTTAAAATCCCAGCTAACATTGCACTTAATGGCAGAAGTCTAAGTGCTCCCCCGTGCCCCCCAACATCAGGAGCTAGGTCGGGTCGTCTACTCCACTCATTTTTAAGATCCTTGCAGATGCTAGTGCCATGAGGCAAGAAAAATATGTAAAAGCATTTCGGCTGGAAAGGAAGAAATAAAGCTCTCTCTACACGCAGAAGGCATGAATGTCTACATCACAAGTCCCCGATAGCAAAAGCTCATAGATTCACTAAGTGAGTTTAGGAGGGTTACAGGACACAAGGCCAATAACAAGACAAACGTATTTGTATATACCAGCAATAAATGATTGGCAGCTATACCTTTTACCATCGCTTTAAAAAAAGTGATGAAATACTATTTATAAATCTGATAAGACACATGTGGAATTTGAGAGCTGAAACTACAAAAAGCTGATGAAAAATCAATGAAGAACTAAATAAATGGAGAGATACATTGGTTTCATTGATTAGAGAACTTAATACAGCAAAGATATCAGTCCCCCTCAAACTGATCTATTGGTTTAATGCAATTCCTATCTTAATTGTAGCATTAGCTTTTTGGTTTATGATTTTTTTAGTTTTACTGAGATATAATTGACAAAATCGTAAATATTTAAAATTTACAACGTGATGGTTTGCTAGATGTATACGTTGTCAAATAGTTACCACAATCAAGTTAATTAACATATTCATCCCCTGAAAGTTACCCTTTTTAAATTATGAGAATGCTAAAAGATTCAGTCTTTTAGCAAATTTTAAGTATATTATATAATATTAATTAGTTATAGTTACCGTGCTGTACTTTGAATCCTTAGAACTTATTCATCTTAAAACTGGTTGGAACTTCTCTGGCGATCCAGTGGTTAGGACTCCCTGCTCGCAATGCAGGGGACCTGGGTTCCACTCCTGGTCAGGGAACTAGATCCCACATGCCACAACTCAGAGTTTGCATGCTGCAACTAAAAGGATCCCACATGTTGCAACTAAGACCTGATGCAGTCAAATAAATAAATATTTTCTCAAAAAACTGAAAGTTTCACGCCCTTCAACCAATATCTCCCTTCCCCATTCTCCCCTTCCTTGGCAATTACCACTCATTTTTTTTCACCGAGGTATTCACCCCAAAGAAATGGAAATATATGTCCACTCAAAAACTTGTAGATAAATGGTCAAAGGACAGAAGACAAAAATGTAGAAACAATTAAAATGCCCATCAGCTGATGAACAAAATGTGGTCTGTCCATACAATGGAATATTACTCAGCCATGCAAAGGGATGGAGTACAGCTCTCTGCTGCAGTGTGAATGGACCTTAAAGACATTATGCTAAGCTGGAGAAGCCAAGCACCCAGACCTCCTGCCGTGCGTTTCCATTTACACAAAACGGCAGCATATCCACAGAGATAGAAAGCAGAGTAGTGGTTGGCAGTGACTGGCAGGAGGGGGCGTGGAGGGGGCGTGGAGAGGCACTGCCTGTTGGGGTCAAGTGTCCTTTTGGACTGATGAGAACCGGGACTGTTGTGCTGGTTGCACAACCCTGTGGCTATTGTGAAATCACTGAATTTAGGCTTTATTTAAAGGGGTGAGTTTTGCTATATGTGAATTCTATCTCATAAAGCCTATTTATTTTTAATTGAAGAGGGACAAATATCTCTGTCCCCCAGTAATTCTTTAAGGAACCAGTCCCATTTGTGTCATTTTCTCAGCTGGTACCCACCCTCCATACCTCCTCACACAATCACTTTGTAGCTTAGATCCTGGTGCTCCTAAGAGGCCAAAGCCAAGGGTCCCTTAATGGGACCCTAGGATTTGCCTAGTCAAAACTCTGAGAGCTCAATAGGTCTTGAACCTCTGCTTTCCTCACCTTTCAAAGAGCTCAGAATGTGTTTGCTGCTTATGCTTTACTATTTTCTGTGTGTATGTGAAAACGCATCTGATATTTGTGATGTTGCTTTTTTTTTTTTTTTTCGGATGATTTCCATTCTTACTGTTATCTCATACCAACCCTAAGACGTATGTCAGGCAGGCAGTAGTACTCAAGTGTTAGGGTTATGTTTTAAGTCTTATGTCTTATAATATTACAAAGCCAGGCCCCAGGCCCAAGGGTCTACTCCTAATTTCACACTATTTCCACTGTCTGTGTTTCAAATGGTTCATCTTAGCCTTCTATTAAGGTGGCATTTACAGTTTGGAGCAGGATTCATTCTGTTAGGCTCCTGTCAACCTCCATCAGGTTCAGTTTTCTACTTGAATCACCTGTCAAATGACACCAAGTCAAATGCCTAAGGACTTTTGGACTTGAATTTTACTCATAAAAATGTTCCCTCAGTCCCTGGAATTTGACCGTTATTACATATTGCCACAAACATAGATGAAACTTGGTCACTGTTGACAAAAAACTAATAGGCCATCTAAAGAAGAAATAGAGAATTTTATTTGAGCCAATCTAAGAAGTATAACCCAGGAAGCACTCTTCCAGAAAACCCTGAGACCTGTTCCACTTGTTAGAAGTCAAAGGTACTTCATGTATACAAAGGTACTTCAAAATATACATTTTTGAGACAAAAGATCATACATCAGAATGAGACACTGGCATTTTTGCATAAGGCTCACCCAAAACACACAGGCCAGATCTGAACTTACAAAGCGAGCCACCTGTAACCATGACCCCTTACTGAATAAGGAAACAATCTTATCTTCCAAGGACTCACATTGCTGGCATCAGAGGAAAGAAAACAGAAAAGCATTGATCTCTGTGGTGGAGCAAGCATGCTCACCTTTGAGGAGGTCTGGTTAATGTATAATGAAGACACATGACATTAGGGAGGGCTCAGTGTGGGTAAGGAACATGTTATGCTTCATTTTCTTGTCCTGCCTTGAAACATAAATTTTATTCCATCACCCTATATTTTATGGATGTGAAAGTTACATTGTTCTTTATGGTACTTAAGTATATACCACCATCACTTCTCATTCTCTAAATTGGATGATCTGTATACCTTCACTCGCCTCTCTGTCAGAAAAGACCCACCAGTCTTATTTGGGGCGGCCCACTTCTCCTTCCTGGGGCAGTATAAGCAGGTCAGAGTCTTCTCTAGCCTGGAACATTTGAGGAAGGGGTCTCTAACCATTTGTCCCCCTGGTCACCACCTATCTGGTCCTTTGGAGGAAATAACTCAACGGGTCCCCTGGAAGCTTGGGCACAGGGGACACTGCAGAGACTAGAAACCTTGGGACCCAGCACCCAGTGCTACTGGGTGTTCCATTCCCAGCCGTATTCGATGGGATGCTGGTCATGTTTACTCTGATCTGCAGGCATAGGTCTCTACCGTCTAAAGGGAATTCCTTAAAACTCTCTCTGCTTCCTGGGCTGGCCCAAGTCATCCTCCCCACTCCTCGGAGCCCCTCCTTGCCTGAGGGTGCACTTTAAAGGTAAAGGAAATAAGTGGGCTTCTCTGACCCCCAAAAGAAGCCCCGATTGGAGACTGACTTTTAGATGCTCAGTAACTTCTGCTTTTGGTCGTTCACTGCTTTGGCTCTCAAGCTTCTGGAGTAAGAAGCCGAAAGACACGGCTGCCTTCTGGAAAGGAAAGAGATTAGCACCTGTTTCAACCTGTACTTAATATCCCCAAATATCACTGAAATAGTTCCTGGTTACAAAGTAGTTAGAAGAGTTCCCAGCATTTTACTGTGTTAAATAAATTCTTTTAGGTGTGTTCTCATGAGCAGGTGAGCAAAGACAAACCTAGACTTGGTTACTTTCTGTCTTTATACTCTAGAAGTCTTCTGCAAACATCTTAAATTCCTTCTGAAAGGAAACAGAGCCAGCTTCAGGTGAACATACTGTGACCTAGAGCAAACAGTCTTCTCACAAGACAGATGGTTTTCTGTTGCAGATTCATAAATGCTTTTGGCGAGAGCTTCAACGTCACAATGGATGGGGAAGTTTACAACAATGTCTCCAGTCACAATGCCAGTGAATATCTTTTTTTCTCTTCTGGCATGTAAGTACCTAGAAGGGCCACTTTGCTCTACAGTTCAAGGGTTTGGAGCCTTTTTCTTTAAATAGTACATTGAAGGTTTCAATACCAAGAATGTTAACCTGTATTAACCTTTCTTTTGTAGAAAGAGCTTCACAATAAACTCACCAGAGATTTCACAACAGTGTGCAAATGAGTTCAAAACATCCTACCTTGAATTTGGTAGTGCATTTACCTACGTAATCACCAGGAAGGTTAGTGACTCATTACACTGAATCAGGTGTGCCATTCAAACTTTATTGATGAGTCCTTGCAAACAGAACATAGGAGCGATTTAATGGAGTAATATAAGGGTCTATATTTTAAACAAGTTTAGGATTAATTCATTTCACCACTAATTCTTTAGTTTATCGTTGCCTTAAGTCCACTGTTAGAATAAAATTACACAAACTGACTTACTCTAAAAGTTCATGTTGATCAGTATCTGATGCTTCCTCATAGACTCTTAACATAGACTTTGGAGACTTTTAGTTCAAAGAGCTGGGAATGTTTTCAACAAACCTGACTTCCAACCTACTCTCTCATTGAAGAGGAAAAAGCTAGTGAACAGACTTTCAAGTCCCACCAAGGCCATCCCAGTCCGAGGATAAAATGCAGTGCTGCATATTTACATTTACAAGGTGTACTTTCTGGATAGATTATATGAGGTAACCCTGAAGGTCCAAGTTCAGCTGGCCGGTCTGTGTGATTTGTATTCTGGAAGCAGTCTCGATTTTCATGTCTCCTTGTTTCTGCCTTCCTGGTTCAGAGTGATGGCTGCCCCGAACCAAGGGCTTTTGAAGACATCTCCCCCAACACAGTCAGCATGGCTCTGCAGATCCCCCAGTACTTCCTCCTCACCTGTGGCGAGGTGGTTTTCTCCGTCACCGGATTGGAGTTCTCCTATTCTCAGGTTTATTGTCTATTGTCGTGTACACCCCTCTCCTACAACCCTGCCTTCCAAAAATGCTACTGGGACTTAATAATAAGCTGGAGTAGCCAGGTACTTACAGTGTAAAAGAAAAGTCTAGAAATGTGGGTAGATTATGGTAGATTCTACTGAACATGGTTTTAGAGATTGCTGCTGCTGCTGCTAAGTTGCTTCAGTTGTGTCTGACTCTGTGCGACCCCATAGATGGCTGCCCACCAGGCTCCCCCATCCCTGGGATTCTCCAGACAAGAACACTGGAGTGGGTTGCCATTTCCTTCTCTAATGTGTGAAAGTGAAAAGTGAAAGTGAAGTCACTTAGTCGTGTCTAACTCTTGGCGACCCCATGGACTACAGCCCATCAGGCTCCTCCGTCCGTGGGATTTTCCAGGCAAGAGTACTGGAGTGGGGTGCCATTGCCTTCTGTGGGTTTTAGAGATTACCCAGTCTTATTTACTGAATAAGAATATTGCTGTTTAGGGAATTCCCTGGCGATCCAGTGGTTAGGACATGCTTTCTGAGCCAAGGGCACATGTTCAATCCCTGGTTAGGAAACTGAGACCCCCACAAGCCTCATGGTGAGCACCCCCCCAAAAAAAGGAATATTACTGTTTAACATTATGAGTGTCCACCTATAGGTGTCTGAATTCCCAGTTATATGATAGAATTTGGGGTCCTAAGTAGGAAAAACTCTATTAATGACCATTACCAGGGTCAAGATGCCAATGGCTTCCATGTTTTCAACCCCATTCATAACAGCGTCCACATACAGGTCTGTGTCCTCATTGTCTTCAAGGGTCACTTGAAGTCTCTTTGTAACTCCCAGTAAAACCACCGATGAAGGTCTCACTCTTAAAAGTTAAAAAATAGGATTGCTTTTGTGCATGTTAGGCTAATGAGGCACATTTTGCTGATGCCTGAATTAGAGCTTAGGTTCTGAACTGGTTTATCACAATACGGCCAGAGCCATCATAACCCCCGCATGCCCAGTATCTTCACATTTTGCAGTAAAGAATGTAAATGCGAGCTGGATGCTCCTTTTCTGCAGTGACCTCACAGTCTAGTTAAGGAGACGACTACGACACAGGTGACAAGAGTTTGGTGAGAAGTTTTGGCGACTTGGCAGGAAAACTCCCCAAAGAGCAAGATGAATGACAACACGGGGCACAGCCTCCACTCAGGGTGAAGGAGGTGCCAGGCCGGGTGGCTTTTGTGAGAATTCTTCTATGGAGATAGAGTCGGTGTCTGTAGATCCGCCCGTTTCCTTAGGATGATAACTCTGAGCACGCAGAGAGTGAAGAACAAACGACTCCCGTGTGCTCACAGAGCATGAGCATTTGGGATCTCGTCATCCGAGTGCTAGTCCTTTTCGCATTAAACCAACCCAGCTCTTAATCTGCCTTTTGGGGGGCCGACGGCCTCATTAAGGGCGTCGTTGAGTTAGGCATGATCTCCTGCTCTGAGCTTGGCGTCTGAGTTGGGACTCACTCTGTGTCATTTCCTTCAGGCTCCTTCCAACATGAAGTCGGTACTGCAAGCAGGATGGCTGTTGACCGTGGCTGTCGGCAACATCATCGTGCTTATTGTGGCGGGAGCAGGCCAGTTCAGTGAACAGGTATGGATGCAAGCAGAGATCGCGTGTACCTCTGTCTTGTCTGTTGATGACCCTCCCTAGCCGTCTGTATATACACGTTGTCATCTCCACTAATGGCCAAATAATACCCTCAGACCCATCCAGACAGAGCAGTTCCCAAACACCCTCACGACCAAGTGTGTGCTCATTCTCCTTATTTCTCCTTGGTGTTATGTGGCTGGAATATAACCAGATGTAACCACGTGTGGTTAACCGGCTGCACTGTGTGGTCTGTGTTCAGTTGTGTCCGACTCTTTGCGACCCCATGGACTGCAGCCCACCAGGCACTTCTGTCCATGGGGCAAGAATCCTGGAGTGGGTTGCCATGCCCTCCTCCAGGGGATCTTCCCGACCCAGGGGTCAAACCCAGGGTCTCCCGCATTGCAGGCAGATTCTTTACTGTCTGAGCTACCAGGGAAGCCTGAGGCCAACATACCAACACCCTAATATCATTTACTACGAGAGGAAACGTCTTTTCCTAGCTTCACTGAATGCAGCTTAATGGCCCCAAACCAGGCATGTTATCCAGAAAGTTTCATAACGCCTTAAGTTAAAACCATTCTAAAAGTTGTCACAATTTTTCCCATTAAAATGAGGGCTTCTCTGGTTCTAGAACTCTATCCCCCACCACTCAGCATCTCTGCCTCATAAGAGAGCTGCCCCTTAGCCCATCAGATTCATTACCAACCCCACTAGGACCCATCAGGGTCTATCCTGCCTGCTCATGACCTCGCGGCATTGCCAAAGGGTAATTTAGAACATTTCAGCATGTTCTGTTTCCCTCAAGACTACTGCCTGGTGTTCTCTTGGTCCAGCTTTTTTCCTTAAGACGTGGGTTTATAGAGATTTTTTTCTCATTTTCTTATGGGTATCTGCACTCCAGAGCTGTTAAAAGAACGTTATAGTTACACTTGGGCATTCAGGAAAAGCTGGCCATTCTGTATCTGCAGCCATAGCCTACCAATTTTCCTTAACAACAGCATTTCCAACACCTGCAATCTAGATGTCGAAAGAAAAACTACCCGCAATGTATACATGCATTCCCATAACCTGTACTGTTTTTGTGTTTTTCCTGCTCCAACTCAAACTCTTCAAAGTGGGCCGAGTATGTTCTGTTTGCGGCACTGCTTCTGGTCGTCTGCGTAATATTTGCCATCATGGCTCGATACTATACGTACATCAACCCAGCAGAGATTGAAGCTCAGTTTGATAAGGATGACAAGGAAGATTACTTGGAAAAGAGTAACCAGTACCCCAAGCTGGACTCCATCTCACAGACACAAATGTGAATGTCCGGAAGCAAGCGGAGCCAGGGCTGGGCCCGGGGTGTGCCCAGGGGTCTGTCCCCTGGGGGCAGGACACTCTGCTGGGTGGCCCCTGATGGGGAAGACTTCAGAACTGTGGACCAAACCAAGACAGCTGCTTTCTAAGCAGCGGGCAATGAACCTGAAACTCCAAAAGAAGTCCTTTTGTTTATTTGTTTGTTTTTAGAGAAGTCTTATTTAAAGCGCGCACACACACCCACACACACTTTTATAACAGAATCCATACTCTGCCTTAACTCCTTTTCCTAACACACAAATAAAGTTATTTTGGACTAACTTTAATTTTTGAAATGGTGGCAAAGTTCCATACTGTTTTCATTCATACACTCTGTGGAAACAATGTTAAGTGAAGCAAAAAGTGAATGGTTAGGCTTTTAAATGGTGCGTATTCATAAGAAGGACCAGCTGATATTAACTGATAACTCGACCTTCTGTTTTTAGTTGTTTTTCCATTCCCTACCTCTTTGTAAATTATGTATAACTCAAAAAACCACTCAGGTAAAGGCCAGCCGTGATTTTTGGAGTTTCAACGGTATGAAATAAACTCTCATTCTCAAGAGTAAGTGTGTGTGTATTGGGGGGCAGGGTAAGAAGTCCTTAGGTGCTTCCTGACTATACAAGCGGTGCCCGCTCCTTGGAATTTCATCAGAAGGTGACAAAAGCATGAACAAAGCAAGGCACACATACAGGAAATTCCAGAAACAGGAAATGTCAGGGTTTGCTTCTTTTGGTCCTGCTTTTCTCAGGGGTATCTCTAACCTACGCTTCTCTTTTATTATTAGAAGCTTCCTATGTGCATATTTCTTACCATCTCAAAGGGTTTATCTCAACACTTGTGAGCATTTTTCTGCTTGAATAAAAATCGTTCCAAAATACTGTAAATACTCCCTGCCCAGTCCGTCCTATAGATATTTATCATACAACCATTCCCAGGTGTCAGACCCAGAACAAGTCTACCTCGGCACTCCCGTAAAAAAACAAGCAACAATTTATTTCAGACGCGCGCCCAGCTGTGAACGTGGGCACTGGTTCCTGGGTTTGGAGCTTGGATCTCTGAGACGCCTCTGCACAAGCTGATCATCGCACAGTGGAGAGGGAACGACGCAGAGACAAAGTCCAGAGCTAGGAACGTGAGCGCGATGAGCAAAGCTTGCTGAGGGATCTCTTCAGTCCTTCAGAGCAAGTCCCCATTCTCACCTGAGGAGGCTCTTCCTTCCATGAATATGGCACCTTTCTCTCTGCTCACTGGGATCCACCAGCTTCCGTCTCCTGGAATGCAGTGGGTCTCTTTCCCATCAAAGGCAAAAGAAAAATCAGATCCTGAGACACTTAGTCCTGACCTACCCTCACTCACACGCCCCTCCTGGCAAAGTCCTCTTGTGTTTGGGATCCAGGCCACCTCCCACAATTATCCTGTCCCCCAGTTTTGTTACAATGAATTAAGTTGCATTGGGCTTCCCACAGCCGGTAAAGAATCCGCCTGTAATGTGGGAGACCTGGGTTCGATCCCTGGGTTGGGAAGATACCCTGGAGAAGGGAAAGGCTACCCACTCCAGTATCCTGGCCTGGAGAATTCCATGCAGAAGTCTATGGTGTCGCAGAGTCAGATGTGACGGAGCAACTTTCTCTTCACTTTGAGTTCCATAAACCCTTCTTGAGCCCTCACCCAAGCTGGGTTCAAGTAGACAAGTAGCGAAACTGAAGCTGAGATGGACAGAGCAAAAACTTTATTCAGTAGCCAAAGAATAGAGAAACGGAGACCAAGTTCACAGATCAACTTCTCACCCTCCTGGCCAGAGAGATTTGATTTCAGAGTAAAGACAAAGGGAGGTGGACTGAGGCTGATGATGGGGAAACATACGCCATCTACCCGGCGGGGTAGGGGGAGGGCTTTTTCAAGGAAGTGGAGTGCCACTCTGTTTAAGCTTTTCTGGTCCTTGGTGTTCGGTCATGGCTGTTGGTAGGGGTGTCATTTAATATGCTAATCATACTAATGTAGTAAAATCAGTGTATAATGAGACTCAGGGTCTGTTAGAGATCAGATTCTGCTGCCATCTTGGTCCCAGCTGTTTCCATTTGTTTGTTTGTTCATAGCTTCCTTTCTTATCTCTAGACCCTTTAAACTTTTTGCTCACGCCTGCTAAAGGTATGGTTGGCAGGTTTTGAACAAAAACATGTTCATGTTGCCCTGACAACGGTTTGGCTGTCTCTCTTCTGCACTTCCATCACTCACCTCTTGGGTATTGAGACTGTCCAGCTTTCCCTGGATCAGAAGCTCTCTGACCGGAAGCTCTGTATCCTGTTGTCCATTTAATTTCCAGGAGTTGGTTGGCCTCTCTGTGTTAAGTGCCAATTTAAAATCTCTTGGACTGCGAGGAGGGAAATGGAAGAGGCCGAGAACTGAGCATTCAGCAGTGATTTGAATGACCTTGTTGACAAAGTCTAGTATGAAAGACTAGCTCTAAGGGACCGTGACTTCTGCCTCCCTGGTCATTTCTGCCCCCAACTTACACCGTGTGCCTCTGATGGGGGAAAGCAGCAGTCACGGTGATGAGCACTCTGGTCAATAATCCAAGGAGCTGCTGCTGCTACTAAATCCTCAAAAATACTCTGGTCCTAACACTTCTTACAACTGCAGGGTAATGTGGGCAACTCTTCACCTTGCAAAAGCTCATTTTCCTCTCCTACAAAGCAAAGAGATCATGAGACAAACTGAGGTCTTTGCAATCCTTTGTTTCAGGGTGCCTGACACACACCAGGCTTCCAAATGTTGAGTGGAGACCTGCTCCTCAATTGACTCTGATATTAACAGTGAGCATGCTTTACAGTTGGACAGGAGGCACACCTGCATGATCTCCAGTGGCCTTTAAAGGATAAGAGGAAGGCCTGCGGGGCACCAGGGCACTTTGACCATTAGAGGTGAGTTTTTAGACTTCCCTGGTAGCTCAGATGGTAACGCGTCTGCCTGCAATGTGGGAGATCCGGGTTTGATACCTGGGTCAGAAAGATACCCTGAAGAAGAAAATGGCAACCCACTCCAATATTCTTGCCTGGAAAATCTCATGGACGGAGGAGCCTGGTAGGCTACAGTCCATAGGGTCGCAAAGAGTCAGACACGACTGAGAGACTTCACTTTCTTCCGATCTTTCTTCTTTCAGAGTAAACTTGCTGTAATCTTCCCATTTCTTCCAAACGTATTCAAGACTGATGGGAGCCACCATGGGTGTTTTAGACTTTGTTCACAGAACTTTGAGCAGGTGTTATGGGGCAGGAGTGGGCAGGGGGGATACTTGGGCCCAGATCCACGACCTCTGATCTTCTGCCCTGTCCCTGGCCCCCATTGTTCTGTGCTTTACACCTTTCTCTAAATTCCAGGCTGATTGGTGTTTAACCAGAATAATTCACTGACTTTAATGTTGGCTGTGTTGAAGTACAATCCTGTGTGGGTTGGGAGAATGTCTGAAATGGAAATGAATTCCCTGGAAATAGCAGGATTTCATTGCTCTTACCTAAAAGCCAGAATATTAGGGGTTTTTCTGTTTTGTTTTTGTTTTTTAATTTTTATTTTATATTGGAGTATACTTGATTTACAATATTGTGTTAGTTTCAGGTGTAACAGCAGAGTAATTAGGTTATTCATATACATATATCTATTCTTTTTCAGATTCTAATCCATGTAGGTTATTATAGAGTATTGAGTAGAGTTGCCTGTGCATATTATACAGCAGGTCCTCATGGATTATCTATTTTATCTATACTAGTGTGCATATGTTAATCTCATGCTCTCAATTTATCCCTCCCTCTCCCCTTTGCTGTTTGGTAACCATAAGTTTGCTTTCTATGTCTGTGAGTCTGTTTCTGTTTTGTAAACAACATTATTTGTATCATTTTTTAGATTCCACATGTAAGTGATATCATATATTTGTCTTTTTCTGTCTGACTTACTTTACTTAGTATGATAATCTGCAGGTCCATCCATGTTGCTGAAAATGGCATTATTTTATTCCTTCTATGGCTGAACAATATTTCATTGTACATATGTACCACACCTTCTTTATCCATTGCTCTGTTGATGGGCATTTAAGTTGCTTCCATGTCTGGGCTATTGTAAACAGTGCTGCAGTGAACACTGGGGTGCATGTAGCTTTTCAAATTATGGTTTTCTCTGGATATGTGCGCAGGAGTGGGATTCCTGGGGTAGCTCTATTTTTGGAATTTTAAAGGGACCTCCATCCTGTTCTCCATAGTGCCTGCACCAATTTACATTCCCATCAACACTGTCGGAGGGTCAGCTTCTCTCCACACCCTCTAGCATTTACTGTCTATAGACTTTTTGGTGGAGAATATTTTGAAAGGTGGTTATAATGTCCACATGAGTCTTATCAGCCTATTCTTGTTTTGCTTCCACATGCCTCCATAATGTTCTTGGGTTTGCTTTTTTTTTCTTTTTGGTGGTGGTTCTTTATTTCTTTCAGGGTACTAAGATGTTTATTTTGTGGTCTATTTTAGAATTTTTTAAAAGTTACTTCATTAAATGTGTGTTCCAATTTTATTTTTGTTAACCATTGTAGCCATGCATTCTGGACTTTTTTGTGTGTGTGTGGCTTCATTGTTTTTTTTATGACAAATAATAGGGGTTAACATTTTCTGGACACTGAATATGGGCAGACAGCCTGTGAAGCACATTACTGCGTCAAGTGTAAAAGCATGTGGCCTTTGCAACAGCCCTATAATGTGGATGGCCGTTATTATTCTGATTCCACAAAGGAGAAGACAGGAACTGAGAAACCATGTAATCTGCCCAAGGTCACATCCACCCTCTGGCTCCAGAGCCCAGGCCACCAACCACTACACAAACCTGCCTCTCAGCTGCCAATGCTTACTGAACAGTATGGATTAAATGAATTTAATCCTTATAATGATACTAAGGAATGTCTTAATACCCCCATTTTAAAGATAGGAAA